GCCTATAGGCCTAAATGGATCCCCCCTGGGATCACCGGTATAACCTAACCTAATCTAAGTATAACAATAATCGCACAGGCATGGCATTGCAGCAGCTTCCACCAAAAGGATTTGTATTTCTGACTCATCTATTTAACGCTGTGATAATAAGGGGATTTATTCCGCCACAGTAGAAGATAGCGCAAATCTCCATGATACCGAAACCAGGGAAAAGCCCAGAAGACGTCAAATCATATCGCCCAATAAGTCTACTTCCGATCCTGTCGAAAGTTATGGAAATCCTGTTTCTAAAGCGCCTTACACCGATTATCCAATAAAACAGACTCATTCCTGACCATCAATTCGGCTTTCGCCAAAAACATAGCACAATGGAACAAATTCATAGACTTGTCAGACATATCCATAGTGCGATAGATGGTAAAAAATATTCCACTGCGGCATTTATAGATATTTCACAAGCTTTTGATCAAGTACGGCATGAAGGCCTGAATCTACCCCTAAATTTTTTTATATTTATAAAATCATACCTCTCGGCAAGGCACTTTTTCATTAAGCAGGAGTACCTCAAGGTAGCATAATGGGACCAATGCTTTATCTTTTATATACTGCGGAAATTCCCCTAAGCGATGAAAGTATTATCGGTACATTTGCAGACGACACAGCTTTTTTATCAGTTGACAGTGATCCAATCCGTGCTTCCACCAAACTTCAAACCTGCCTTAACAATGTTGCTCTCTGGATGAAAAACTGGCGTATCAAACTGAATGAATCAAAATCTGTCCCGGTAACATTTACTGCAAAACGTTCTACGTGCCCGCCTATTTTAATAAACAATACTGAATTACCACAAGCTGTAGAAATAAAATACTTGGGCATACATCTGGATAGTAAGCTAACCTGGAAATCACACATATTCAAAAAGCGTAAGGCCCTGGGTCTTAAATTACGAAACTTATTTTGGTTCCTCAGCCGAAATTCCAAACTGTCACTCGACAATAAGCTGCTTATATACAAATCTGTACTAAAACCTATATGGAGTTATGGGGCCCAATTATGGGGTACTGTAGCGGACTCACACTCGGCAATTATCCAGCGTTTCCAATCTAAAACATTGCGAATGATCACAAATGCACCTTGGTATATAACGAATGAACAGCTGCATAAACAATTACATGTTCGGACAATCAAGGAAGACATAGCCAGTATTTTAAAGAATTACGTTCATCGCATATATATGCACCCAAACCCGCTGGTTACACACCTGATGTCCCCTTCCAACACTTTTACAAGGCTTAGAAGGAAAACATCTAGAGATATTTTAGATATGTATATGGGTCATTCTTTTACAAACCGGACGGATTTTGGCAAAAAATGACCTCATCACCTCCGATTTGGCTGAAATTTTTTTTATGAGCTCCTTTCATAAAATAAGAAGACCCGTATCTCGGGAAAAAATTTTGTAATTTTTTTCCTAGGAGATATGGACCCATGGGGTTTTGAGAATTGGCATTGTAGACACATTTTCAAATGGCTATATCTCAAGTTGAAATTTATTGCGTTTTAAAGATAATTGGTTGAGCTTTTAAGAAATTGTTTAAACAATTAAGATTGTTTATATTTAAGTACTAATATTAACCGTTAAATTTCAAAAAAAAAGATATCTCAAAAGGGTACACAACATTTTTCATTTTTTATATTTTATTTAGATTCAGTTTTAAATTTTACTAAGAAATAAAAATTTTCATGATAGTATCGATTTTTATAAATTTTTTAAATTTTTTTTTTCTCATAAAACACATCAAACACATGCGTGCTATATTTACATTGAATGAATTTTCAAAAAATATACTACAAATATTCTTATATAATATTTTTGATTTCAATTAGTAATAAAATTGTACACAAAACTCAAAAATTTCAGGACGATATTGTCGTTGGAACTACTTTTAAAAAATTTATTTATCCTTCACATCACTCCAAACACATACACACGATTTTTCAGTAAAAAAAAAACAGAGGAATACGTCACACAAATTTTTCATTTTTACTTTTAATTCCGATTAAACAATAAATTCTTCTTCGAAAATAAATATTTCCAGTGTGATATTGCTTCCAGAAGTAATTTAAAAAAAATTAATTTATGAGGTGTCCTTCATGTTACTCATACGCACCATAATACCCTTGAATCAATTTTCCAAGAAAAGTGACACAATATTCACATTTTAAATTAGTTCCGCATCATCTCTATTTTTAAATTATAAATTTTAACATAATTAATATTATATTGATCTTATATTGATCAGTTTAAAAATTAATCTTAATTGTTTAAACAATTTCTTAAAAGCTCAACCAATTATCTTTAAAACGCAATAAATTTCAAGTTTCTACCTTTTATAGAACTTGAGATATAGCCATTTGAAAATGCCAATTCTCAAGATATGGATATCTCCTAGGAAAAAAATTACAAAATTTTTTCCCGAGATACGGGTCTTCTTATTTTATGAAAGGAGCTCATAAAAAATCGGAGGTGATGAGGTCATTTTTTGCCAAAATCCGTCCGGTTTGTAAAAGAATGACCCATATGTAAATCACACACTGTTACTTTAAATATATATGGATATGTCACTGGGCATAGTCAATACGTGTGTTTCTTTTTTAGATCGTAATAATTATTATTATGATTTATAATTATATATATTACTTATATTCGTTCATACCTGACAGATTGTAATAAAATAAATGGATTTAAAAAAAAACAAAACAATATGTTCGAATATGTGCTCAGCGAGTTCATATTGACAAATAGGTGAACGATTGTGACGTTGTACTTTAGAGTGTTGGCATGGGATACATTCTCGGGTCCAGTTTCTAATGTCAGCATTTATCATTTTTGTTTTCCCCTGAATGCTGGAGTGAGACAATCCATGAATAGCTTTAAAGACATGTAGCGGTATTTCTGGATGAATTCGCTCAGCTCAAACTTCGCAATAAGTTTTGTCTGATGTTATTGGTAAGGACAATGGTTTGATTTCGATGGATTTGTTGTTTTTCATATCTTGCAGTTGTAAACCAAATCGTTGTAATTCAATTATACAATCGTAATCGATTTTTGGGATGCTGATACTATCTATCCGCGAGAGGAAATCTGCTGGAATATTTTATTTTCCGCTGACATGAACGATATTAGTAGTAAATTGGCCTATATAATCAAGTTGACGGACTTGACTTGGTGAAGCCTTGTCGGACTTTTGTTGAACAAAAGTCTTGTGGTGAGTGGCATGTGGTAAGGTGTTAACACGAATTCACGATTTTTGGAAGATTGTTTTATTCAATTCGGTCCAGGATAACGATGTATTGTCGTTCTTCTTGTTTCCTTTTATCATTTGTTGAAGTGCAGTTTGAGAGTCTGCTGCGTTTGGTAGGAACCTGCTATAAAAGTTGAGTAATGCTAGAAATCTTCTTAATTCTTTTGTTTTTGTTGGAAGTGGGTTATATAACTTTTTGGTTATATAACATGTATGCAAGCTCATCTATATGAGGAACTGGGTAACGTCTGGGATTGTGATTGCATTTAAGCAACGGTAATCTTAACAATGTCTCCAACTTTCGTCTGGTTTTTTTACCTTATGTAAGGGACTACTTGATGGACGACATATTCCAGCTATGACCAACTTTTGGAATTCTTCTTCGCTGATTTAAAAAATCAGTGCCGATGATTGAAGTGATTACATCTGCGATAATAAATGGCCATGTGTAATTTCTTCTTAAGCCAAGAGCTAGAGTTAGCTCTATTTCACCAAATGTTTTGATAGTAGAATCATTTGCTGCGTAGAGTATTCTATCGTTATTTATGTTTGTATTTGAATTTTTTGTTTGGCGACAAGTGAAATATCTGCATCCATGTCGTTTAGAAATGATTTTTTAGTCTTATTGACGTTCGGGTCTGCAAATTTGTAAAAACCTGATAGTTGTAAATGATCCAGCACAAAGAGCTGTTAAGTTATTCACTGACTTTATTTATTTTTTTTTTTATTTTATTTTATTTTTATTATTAAGTGCATTAAGTACATGCTTTTTATTGCACTATCTTAAAAACTAACTTAAAAGCTAACAATATATTCATTTAAGTATAATTTATTTAGAAATTACAAATATTAGAAAATATAATAAAATTGTGTTGTGTGCTACAAATTCAAATTAATATTATTATATGTATAATGATAAAGAAATATAGAAATTAAATTAAAATTAACATTGAATTTAAAATAAAAATTATATATTTAAATTAGTTTAGTTAACAATAACATTTTAAAAACTCTTAAATTAAATGCATTTCTGGTTGAGCTTGGCAGAGCGTTCCATAATTGGACTGAATGAATAAAGAAAAACCTGGTGGTAGCAAAAAATTAAGCAAATTAAATCTGTTGGAATGAGTAGGCTGCAAGCAATTATAAAGGTACTCCGGATATTTAGTAGTTTTCAATTTAAACAGAAATAAGCAGATTCGAATATTTAAATACTGCTCAACGTCACAGCCCAGAATGGCATTCCTATAAACTGTTAGATGATTAAACCGTTTAAGACCGTATAGGTATCTAGTACTACAGTTTACTACAGCTCTCAAATTAGCAAGGGACTCACAGTCAAGTTTAGAGTACACCAACGCGGCATAAGTAATTATAGGCACTATCAGTTGTTTGACCAATAAGCCACGCACAACGACTGGGGTATAGTTAGTAGATAAATTTAAATATCTGAGGCAAATAAATGATTTCTTAACGACGTGATTGACATGATCAGGGACATGTAACTTTAAATTCAAATAAAATCCTAGACATTTAACTGATGTACTATATTTAATAATTGAGTTTCCAATAGCCACCGGAGGTAATTTGTCTAAATTTAATTCTAACCTAGTAATCGGCAAAATGATGGTTTTATCTGCATTTTGAAGTATATTGTTTTCAACTGCCCAACGATGTATGCATATTAAATCTATATTAATTATTAATCTTTGTGACAAGGTCATTTAAATTAACACTCCGACACGAATGATACATTTGTATATCATCAGCATATCCATGTAGCTTCGAAAATTGACATAATGAGAAAACGTCATTCATATAGATCAAAAATAGCAATGGGCCCAAAATCGAAGCTTGAGGAACCCCAGAAAACAGATGTTCAAAGTTTGAAAATTTATTATTAATAACTACTGACTGAAATCTCTCAGTTAAATAACTAAAAATAAATTTAGAAGCTGATCTGGAGAAACGAAACTTATTTATAGGCTTTTTAAAGAACAAAGCGTGATCAGCTTTTGAAAAACGAGAAGACATAAGTAAGTAACCAAATCACTATTATAACTCACTTTAATATCTTCTAGAACTTTCAACATAGCAGACACACAACTATGACCTTTTCTGAAACCAGATCGATAGGGAGATAGCAGATGGAAAATGTTTAAATGATTACGAATCTGTTCAGACATTATAGTCTCACGCACTTTGGAAAGAGATGGAAGAATACTGATAGGATGGTAGTCAGAAACTGATGAAGCATTGGCTTTTTTCTCAATTGGTATAACTTTAGCTTGTTTCCATACCACTGGAAAAATAGAGGTAATAATACAAAAGTTTATAATATGAGTTAATGGAGATATTATGAATGGTAAAATGAGCTTTATGAATTTAAGAGTGATTTCATCTAACCCAACAGCATTGGACTTAATACTCATTATATTCTTAAAAACAATATCTTCACTGACACAGTAAAAGCTAAAGCCTTCATTAGCGTCAACAAAATCTATATCTAGGAACACTGAAGAAGAGCTACCATTATCACCTACAGAACAAACAAAGAAGTTATTTAGAGCATTTGGCTCCACATTACATAGCATTTTGATATTATTCCAAAGGGTTTTAGTAGATTTAGTACAACCAAGCTTAGATTCGTAGTAATCTGACTTAGCCTTATGAACAGTTCTAGCAGCTACATTTTTAGCAATTCTAAACTTCATCCAGTTAAATTCAGTAGGGTACTTTTTCCAAACTGCATATTTTCTATTTCTTAAATTTATAAAATGTTTTATTCTAGGATTAAACCATGGGCAAGAGACATTATTGACGGTTATCGAACGAAAAGGTACATAGCGATGACGAAGGCTAAGCAATTTCTTATTGAATGCATCTAATTTTTGATCAGCTGAAATACCAGACCAACATTCATTCCATTCAGTTGAATTAAGTTCAGAAAATAATCCCACTGAATCAATTAACTTATAGTCCAAAAAGAAAATCTAGTTGAGATAGATTTTTTAATTTTCTTAAAGTCTAACGTAACAAATAGTAGGTCGTGATCTGAAACAAATGAAATCTGATCAAACAAGAATAATTTGCTTATAGCAGAAACTGCCATTATGTCCAGAAGACTAGACTTAACATTATTGGCATATATTGTAGATATGTTACTATTGACGATACTTAAGCTCGACATGGCAATAAGATCATTTAAACGGGAAACATTACCACAATTTGAGAGTAGATCATTATTGAAATCACCAAGAAGTCAAAATTAAGTGCAATGGGTTGCAGTGTATCAAAAAAGGGTCGCAACTGAAGCGCTTGTGTGAATACACATACTCAACCAACATTTTCTGAAAACCAATATTGATGCTTATGATAAATTCAATGTCGGACTTATCAGACACACATACCAAATTACTTTTTAAATGAGATTTGCAGTAAATTGCCACCCCGCCTCCTCTTCTTTGCTTCCTATCATGGAGGTATAAAGTATAATTGTTTAGTGAAAGATATAAAATAGTGAGTTTCCAACACTCATATGACATCAACATCAGAGTTTGCAAAACAATTTTAATGTATAATTTTGTTATTAATTTTTTGAGTTGTTACGTCGAAATTTTTTATTAAAATCTGTTTTGTTTTTTAAGAATGTTAACTTTTATTTCGTGCGTTATTTTTTAGTATAATTCTATACGTATTTCGGCAAATTCGCTTTTGCCTTCATCAGGAGGATTCCTAATAATGTTTTAATGTAGTCAAATTTCAGATCAGTTAGGCTTCTAGCATTAAAATGTACCATATTAAGACCGCAATTTTGTTTACTTAATATATTTATTAAGACTTTGTGGTTCATCAAAGTTGATAATTAATTCTTTCAGCTTCCAGTATAAGTTTCCTTTGCAGGGTTTTACATATTAGATCCCTGGAATCGTGGTCTACATCGAGTTCTTGCAAATTAAGATTATTTTTGGCTTTGACACAATTAACACATCTGGTAAAGCTATTTTTACATTCTTTGTGTATTTGGCCAACTTCACCGCATTTTGCACATACATGATCACTTTCCTTACAAACAGTCGCTTTATGGTTAAAACCCCAGCACTTGGAACATCGCATTACGTTCAAGTTTTCGTACACTATGCATCGTTCCCAGTCGATATTAAGTCTACGAACGCTCATAAATTGCTTGAAAGCAGTACCATCTAATTCAACTAACGCATTAAAAATGTTTTTATTTTTGAAGGACTCATATATTTTTAAGACTTTTATATACTTAATTTCCATATTGTTTTGATTTTTTATTGCCTGGAGAAATTTATCATTTTCCAAACGCTCGCTCATGCCGGTATGAGGTTTTTAGAAATTTCTAAATATGTGGCAAATTCAACAGATCCAATGAAGGTAACAGATTTACATAGTATGAATGTTAAAGAAATGTATGAAAAATATTATAAACATATTTCATCAAATGCTTTATGTGTACCAACACCTATTACAGAATATTTTGTACACCAATGGAATAGAGAAAAAACACCAGATGAAACTAAATATCCAGATTATATTGTTCATAATAAAGGAAGTGTTAGAATGGATGAAAAAGTACATCAATTTTTAATAAATCAAGCTATTGGGCAACCAATTGCTAATTATGAATATAAACCTAAAAGTGGTTTTATAAAAAAGGAAAAAAAAGATATTGAGATATTGGTTTAGGAAAAAATTTAACATATCCAATAACTATAAATAATATCCAAGATATTTATGCACGAACTATTGAATCATATGGAACATATCATCCACTTAAAGGTGGGTTTGGATATGATGCACAATCACAATTACATGTAGGTTTAGCAGCAACACCTCAATTAAAACCAACTAAAAATTCTGTTAGTTATTTAAATAGTGCATGTTATTGGAAAGTAGAATGTTCAATAGAAATAAAATGTAATATATCATCATCATTTGCAAAATGATGATTTTTTTTTTTTTTTTTTTTTTTTTTTTTTTTTTTTT